TATATATATATATATATATTTTGTTGTTGTAGAGAAATAAAAATTAGAAGTCTGAAATTACAATCATTGGTCGCAGCCACATTATGAATCCCTTTTTAATGCAGCCAAATCTTATCAAGCCAACAAATGAAGGTCGTGGTATTTATTTTAAAAATAAACTTTCTGCAAACGGTACACAGCGACTGATATCGAGACATGTTTTCTGAAACACGCTGCTGTGGTTTTCTTTCACTGAGGGGGAAAAAAAGTATTTTCTTATCTTGGTCCCGTCTTACTTTTATTCTGGGTCAATCACATTCATGCCTGTAACCAGTCAAGGACTTCAATGCAGAGGAACTGTTTTTGAACTTTTGGAGAACATGCAAGAGCCGCAAATCTAACCTTTTCTGCTCTGGAACATTGGAGCTGAACACTGAGTTACTGTGACAGTTCAGGCTGAGATTTTTCTCTGCTCAGGTTCACAAACTTTAGTGTTTGTCTTCGGCCTGTGGGTTTCTATTTAAAGTCCTCGCGGCATGTGTTTTTGGATGCGCTGATGAGGGGTATGGTGTTTGCATCTGTCCATGTTTTCGTTCTGATTTGGGTGACCCACTTATGTCGCTGAAAATTGGTTTATTTTTGGGTCATATCACTCGAGAGCACTGCCATAAAGACAATATAAACATCACACACATCACACTTGGAAAAAATGCAATAAATTGTAAATACTGTCAGCGATGACAGTCTAATTATGTTTCTCTGTTTGTATCCCCGTCTCAGCATCATTAATTGTCTGGGGGAACTTGCTGTCATGTAATGTGTAGATTAGCAGTGCAGTTGTCTCTCAGACTGAGTGATTCGAACTTTTCTCACCTGCACGAGAAGATCATGCACAACAAATAAATATTCATAACCAACCTATCAAAACTTACATGCAGAAGAAATATGAAAATGATCTCTCTCTCTGTAGATGTGCTGCCTGCGTACACCTCTCCCTTCCTCTCTGAAACTCATTGTTACAGCGCCTCCAGAAAATTTCTGACTCCCCAGACATTTGCTTGGGGGTATGCAGCTGAATTTAAACAGCTTACATTAAGATTTCTTTCATTTCTTTTTTTTAAATAATTGATATTTTTCTGGTAGGCAAATATTTTGAAACTTGACATTGGTACTTTTGATAAATATTCAAGCCTTTTGAATATTTACAGTCTTGTTATGGTGCATTATTAGTAATTTTGTCTACATGACGGGCACATCGGTTATTTCTTGTAACAATGTATAAGCTTAACTATCCTAAAGTAGGAGGTAAAACAGGATTGCTGGTATTTGTGTTTGTGCTGCCCTCTTTCCATGGTGCAGTCGAGTGTTATCCTCCATAATAACAGCCATTGCATGAACACTAATTGCTGAAAAGCTCTTAAACTGTTTGGTGTTGATATGTTGGCCAGTTTGGCTCAGACAAATGTTGCCTGATGTTGACAAGTGAATTTCGAGTTATCTTTCTCAAAATTTTGAGTTAATAACTTGAAATTTTGAGTTAGCGCTGCCAATCAGTAATCTGCGTGAATGACGTCATTTCCTTGTTACCCGGAAGCTGAAGCCCTCAGCTACAAATGCTACAGCTAAGCTACCAGTATTGCAGCCAGTCATGAATGCACAAATTGCTGAGTATTTTCAGCATGGCTTCACAAATGATGAAATCCTTGTGTTATTCACTGAATCACATGGCGTTACTATCAGCAAACGTACTCTGGAAAGCGCCAATTTGTTGCTAACCATTGGTAGCTCACGATCCGGTTTTGAGTGCGCATTCCTCTGCGCCATATCCTTCCGGGTAACAAGAAAATGATGTAATTCACTGATTGGCAGCGCTAACTTGAAATTTTTAGTTATGTTTGTCAAAATTTTGAGTAATAAGTCAGATTTTGAGAAAAGAACTTGAAATTTTGAGAAAGATAACTCAAACTTTTGAGTTATGGATACTTTGCAGCAGCACATGTTTGCATTTTTGGTATAAAAGTAAAGAAATAGTTGAATTGTGTTTTATACCAACACAAATATATTTTTCAAATAATTATTATTCTTAATATACTTAATTGTTGTTTAGAGAAGCTTCAGTATGAATAGATTAGATTGCTTTCATGCCGTTAAAGAAACACTATGGTCCTGACTGAAGACAAAAACATTATTTAACTGTAATCCCAATATTTTCCCAACTTTCAACAATTTTATTGTGTCTTCTATCAAATTCTGCACATTTTCACAGCTTCCTGTAACCTAACATAACTCCATTACAAGGTGAAACATTGTGTAGCTGAGGATAGCATATGGTAGCAGTAGCAGCAATATAGTTACATGTCCCCATCCAGTGTTATTGGTGAATTTATCAGTTTTATCCACTATAGATTTTTAATTGAAAGCAGGCTTCCTTCTCATTTGGATTTTAAGGTCTGTTAAATAAGCACCTGTGCCTAACATTAAACATTTCCCTTTGCAGTAGAACAACATCAAACCTTCCATTTAAGCTAATATAATTTATGATAGTCACTGGTGGTTCTGCATCACTCAGGGACATCAGAGGGCTGTGATATAAAACACTCCACTATTAAAAGAACAGAAAAGAGGTAATTTGCTTAGTCATGACTGCCAGGCCTCACAATACCTTCTGCTGATGTTTTGTCCTTATTTCACATCATTTCTAACCACGCTGCAATTGCACTGTTTGCTTCCGGCCACAATATTTCCCAAATGGCAGAAGCTGGGCCGTACCCACCTGCACCCTGGTGCATTGAAGATGTGCTTTGAACTGTGTGCCACTGATTCACAGATGTGATCTGAATTAATTCTTTATAGAAGCACATCAGTTACCTACTGTAGTTGTCTTGGGGTAGCTGTTTTTTACTTTGTTGCACAAATGATATCTCGTACTATTCCCTCTCTTCGTTTTGAGCCGCGATGGTATTACGGTTCTGGCACGCTCCGGTATCGCTTGGACGTCTTTTAAAAACAATGTTCAAACACACCAAAGCAGCAATTTTTCTCTGAATCGGAAAAAAAGTTCAGCATTCATGCTGCTCAAGTCTGATTGTGGAAAATGTTCTCTGTGTTTGAGCCTAAGCAGTCAATCACGGGCCTTTGTGTCTGCCTGCTCCTTTCAGTTCTCTGCCATCACCCACAGCAATAGCCAGCAACAAGACTTGCATCAGCCTTCCTGCTGTGACCCTGCATACCATTGCAAAGAGTTAGGTTGTAGCAGAGATAAATATGTGGCAGGTAAACCACCCCACACCCAAGATATTTACTCTATGCAGGAATCCAATTGAATAAATTTGAGACAGAGCAGTCCAGAGAGTGCTTTATTTTTTTACCAGAAATATGCATTGGGAGGATCACTTTTCAGCCATCCTTGAGGGACAAACATGGTTGTCTTTTGCCAGTTGAAGGTTAGTGTCTTTCCACCCCCCCACCCCATCATACTGGCTGCCTCTTACATAAGCTATGCTGAGAGGCAAGGAAATATGGGAAGATGAAGTGTGGTTGAAATATCAGATATATGGGTATCCAGTGCAGGTGTGGGAATTGCATATGGAGTGGATATATTTTGTGGATGTATGGTGCTTATGTAAAAGACTAATGGTTCCCTTTGTTTAAGAGAATACAGTATGTGGATTGGATAAAAAATATAGTTTCTTTTACCTTTTTCATGCTACATGGCACTTACCTACATGAACTAAATTTAAATCCAGAACATCTGTTTCTGGTATATATTTAACAATGTGAGCCCTTGGATCCAGTCTAAAATATATCTCAACAGCTACTGTATATGGATTCATGTGCCTTTTAGGGCAAAGTATTGTGTATTTAGTCACTTTTACTTAGTCACTCAAAATTTTAAACACTTGTTAACCCTTTAAAACCGATCGGAGCAGGCACGCTCTGTTTTGCGTAACTATTTTTAAATCCCGGTAGCACTGCAACCATGTAAGCTAGCGCAAAAAATTTTTTTGCATATGAAACCGGAGGAGATGTACTTACATCTTATGCCATCAGCTTGTCCTAGGTCACGGTTTCCTTCCACATATAGCTTTGCAAAAACTGCATAAAAAGCGCTTGCAGCAACACAAACATAATATTCCAGAAACACCTTTGCCGGAAATGTAGTGTTTTACCATCAGGGCCTCATGAGCCTATACTGGTGTTTTTAAAAGTTATCTTTGACTTTATGACTTTCTGTGTCGTTTCTGGGATGCT